GGAACAACTTTGATTACTGATAAAAATTCATCATTACACAAAAACTTTTAAAAAGAACTTTTATCCAAACTGCTAGTTCAATAATCGTTAACAACAACCCCCAAGGTAAACTGACAGCTTTCTAAAGAACTTATTGTGCTAAAATTTTATACTGACTGCAAGTTAATTACCTCAGGACTGTTAAGCTTCTAAACTCGAACATAATTCAGGATAGTTTGTCAAATTTCAGAACCGATTATAAAGCAGAAATGTTTTCACGTTTCAAAAGCTCTTTCGTAAGAAAACTTCTTATTACATTTGTTCCGAATGTTTTGTATCATGCCATAATGCCTCGTACAGACTGACAGTGTATTCAATCACGATGACAGACAGAGGAAGATGCACTATCAGCTCCATTATTTCCTTGCCCTCTTCCTTACAACGAAACTCGCATTAAGTTCACGTTGTGTCATGACGAGAAGTCAATCGCTTTGTACTGATGATCCTTTCAGCACAGTTAAAAAAAAATAATTGTTAATGTTTTTTGAATGATTGTGTTTATATCACTTAAGTTTAACGGAATCTTAAATTCAGTGTGACGCTGATATCAGAAGTCTATCGTAAGCAATAGACGCACAAACAACGGAAAACAAGAAAAAATTACTTGTATTTTAAATGCTTTGCTCCAAAAGATAAAAACTGTTTTATTATGTATTCAATTTAACACATCAGGTATCCCTGATGTCACATTGAAAAAAACTGGGGTCTTTGGTTTACAAGGCTGCATTTACTAACGATGCACTTCAAATGTACTAAATTGTATTCACGCGACCCGCCCAGTTACGTCCTGACACACGTCTGATGTCACAGAAAAACCAAAACCCTGATGCTTCATTTGAAACCAAATTTCCACACGCGAGAATTCGAAACGACATACAAGTGCGTGGGACGTCTCATGTGAGACATCTGTATGTCATACATACGAGATCGTAGCTGTCTAGTTACGTCATTAAATATCTTCTCCAGCATCTTCACAGTCGCGTATCAAGAAGACGAGTAGACGGAAAGAAAGAAGTAAAAGAGATGGCTATAACAGCGGTACGCACAGAGCCTCGATGTCAACGAGCGAGGTCAAAACGAGAAAACTCGATCTTCCAATACAGAAAGCAGTACCAACGTCACTGCTGGATCGTACATCCCTCTGAAGCTTATTGTAATCCGCTTATCCTTACATTTTCCCTTGGAGAGATGGGACCTCGTTCCGGCATTTGTGGCTGCTGAAGAGTTCCGGCACAGTGCTGGCTGGACCGGTGACACAGATGAGCCACAGGAGCAGATGGATGGCAGCTACCACCTTCCCAGAGAGTTCAAATTAAACGGAAACCCGTTACAACAACGGAGAATGATTTTCGGGTTAAATCACATTAAAACCGATTTTATCCCGACGCCAGAACGATTTGTATTAAGATCAGAATCTTATATCAAAGTTATATCTGCGAGTTGCCAGAATATTCATCGTACATCCGCAGTTATTTCCTGAAATAACCTGTACACTTGTATTTAGTGTACAGACTGGTCCTCAATAGAAACACAGCGAAAAAATTATTTATACCACACGCTATGACATTCAGCATCTCTGCATTTTTCCAACTAATATGTTTCACGTGATTCTCACTGCAAACAGCGATTATTTCCTCAAACGTCATCAACCAATTAATATTTGTATTGGTGAAGTGTAGTGTTTTCTTTGCGGTACGGACTGAATTCTTAAATATTATTTAATATTCGTGCTTCCCAGCTTTAATCTGTGTGCTTGTCTTAAGACTGAGATAGAACTAACTGGTTTTTCGAACATAAAATTAAAAAAAAAATGCCAAAGGTCTACGATATGCCGCGAACTGCAAATTTTATGTTGAAAGGGCCCGTCAAAGCGATTCCGAGTAAACTGTTTTATAATCACTCTGTATGTAACAAAAAGTCACTAGTGTACGTTTTCCCCACTCGGTACTTGTAACCGGAAGTTCGCTGTAGAGACAGACCGTCACGCTTATGGCTTCAGTTGAACACGTGTCACGTAGATTTAGTCGGTGTCGGTTAGTTTCGCTTCAAAGAAAGCTAAAACACGACACTTCTTGCGCCAAAGTCAACATGACCTAATGAGTTTACATTAAAGGCTAGAGAAAATTAAAGCTTCAGAGAGAAGTGTTCAGTTCAAAAAGCCACTGAGACCAGCTTAAAACTACGCAAATTTCCGTTTGCTTTACATAACGTTTCACATTTAAAAAAAAAATGCCCTAGCTGAGTTCAACCCCCTCCATTCAACGCAAAAAGTATATCTCTTTAAAAAAAAACTAGACCATCGAAGACATTTGTTTGATGATCAATAAAATCCCGGAAAATATATCTCTATACTTAAGGCTTCTGATTAATCGGCGATGAAAACACCAACAGAATATGATTTCATTAAATAAAAAATTGGCATGAAAATGGATAATGTGCACTGTTCTATCGTGGCTTCGTACCAGCTTAAGTTCAATGGTGTGCGATGCCATGAAGAAACATGTTAACTGAATGACTAAACAAACTACTATATTAAAGGTAACATAAACCGATTCTATCAACCAAATAAAATAAAAATATTCCTGGCGCTACAACCCAGTTTCATGTTTTACATGAGTAGAGACCACTTTTATAGAAGCTTAAATTTCATTACCCTATTCGCCAGTTTACGTCACTCAGCCAGATGAATCTAGTCGACACGCACCCTAGTTCCTCAAACATCATTTTAATATTATCATCCTATCTATACCCAGTTCTTCCGAGTGGCCCCTTCTGTCTGTCTTTCCGGTTTAAAGTCTGTATGAAATTCTCATCTCGCCTGAGCTACATCACGGCCAGGACATTCTGTGTAAGAATCAACTGTTAGTCAAAGGGGGAAGATTTCAGTGCCTTTTTGTATCAGTTGGTAATCTGGATGAAGCCGTAGTCCACTTAACGGCAGACGTTTTACCAGTACTTAAAGTGACATGCGGATAAGTTTATGTGCAATATCATCTCTTCAGACACAGCGATTATCGATAAAATATCCTCTCTGGGACGATTGATCCTGGAGGGGCGGGGGGAGGGGATTTTGGAAGAGTAATTCTAAGATAATAGTAAGCGGCTTTTCTGCTGAGTGGTGCACGATATCCTGGTCATATGCAGTAGGTCGATGCGTCGAGAGCTGCTAGCGTTATCCTCACTTATCCGCAGGATAGATGTCGCACAGTTTTAAACAAGGGCCCATAACTATTTATGAAGAGACTGTACGAGAAGAAGTATCAGAAGTTAAATGTGACAATAGTACGTTATTATGATGCGTTGATGATGTTATTCTCGGTTGTGACGCCGTGTGGACGCGTGAAAATTTTAAATAAGACGCTGGTATAGCAACTGAGATATATATAAGAAGGATAGCAGAAGAGTAGAATTTGCAAAGAGGAAATTGGTGTGGGGAGAGATGAGAGACACTTCGATTTCAGAGGGGGAAGAAAGAGCATCTCATAGTTAGTAGGTCCCCAGGCAATGCCCGTTCGTCCTTCTAGTAAGGATAAAGTGAAGTAAGAGTGAAGACGTTAGGGCGATTAATAGCAGAAACGACGGAAATTTTGAGATGTATATTAGAAAGTGCTGAAGTTATTAATTTCGAAACTGACGCTCGCCTAATAATATTTTAGAATTCAGGCCGTACCGCAAAGAAAACACAAGACTTTACCATTGCAAAAGATCAATTTGTTAAGCGCTGTTAAGAAAATAATCGATACTTACGGTGAAAATTATATGAAAACCACAAAACGAGGAGTTATCGATTATTGAAGCAGGTGGTACATATAGTTACCATTCGGCTTTATAGGGTTAAAGTAAACACACACGCTAGTACCTTACGCTTGAATGAAATCGTAGAGTGTGTCATTTCAACCCTAATATGTGGATAATGTAGATTTAAGAATGAAATGTACGTTCAGGTACAGTTACATACAAAAATATGATGGTGATAGTTTACTTCTGCTAAACATCTCACCTATTTCTCTGGGGCTCATGTGTGCGAGCTTTCATACGGACGAGTTTCCAGCCTATAGCAAAACCCACAACCTAGAGAGTCAAGAGACTTAACTTCGGGATGACCGTCCCTCGAGAACCTACCTTCAGCGCGGCTGTCGAAGTTCGCCTGCTCGTTATGGCTTACTATTAGCCACAGCCACCTCATGTTCTAAGCCGACTATTGAGCTGATACACCTGTGATACGCGGTTTCCATTGCGGTGAAGATTTTCGCAAAATCCGTGGGGACATTCATGTTTCGGAGAGACATACTGCACCCATCTTCAGGGCTACCTACGAATATCGACATAGTATACACCTTCCCCGTATTATCATGAATTTCACCGTTCACCACAGATGGCTATTTGGGAGTAACCTACAAATTAATACCAAAAAAAAATGCATAGATAATGCCGATATATGAAAAGAATCCACAAGACGGAAGACAAATAAATTCCCTCGTACCGAGGCCATAAAGTGACATATGGAACAGAAAAGCCACTGGCTAAAATATCACGTGATGGGTGTGGAAAAATTAGAAACATTAAAATCAGAAATGAAATTATGGTAACAACTACATATGAAAGTCAAATATGACATGAGACAAGGATAAAGTGAGCAGAGCTAAGTGTCTCTGTGGAGAGACTGAAAATACACGTACAGACCACCAACGCAACACAGAGACAGTGAAACAAATCTTTGAACTTGAACACTGAAATATAAAATTACACATTAATCAAATGCAGCATCAACAAAGAATACAATACAACCAAACACCGAAACAAGCATGGCAAATCAACGCGCGAGGAGGAAACAGACGTACTGGAAGACCAAGAAGAAGACGGTCAGACAAAATTTAGCAGTCCAAAGGGACCAATAGAATCAAAACAGTCCACAGGCAGTCAAGTGCATGTGTCAGCGAAAGATGCATGAGGATTCTTACCGTTGTGGACCAGAAGAGTCGAATCTCGAGCGAGGGCCAATTCAGAATCCGTCAACGTTGCATCGGACGCATTCTCAGATGTGGGAGTATCACTAAGTCCTGCAGGATGCTGTTGTTGAGATTGCTGGTACGGCTGTTGGTACGTATGTATCTGGTACGGGTTATTACCAGCAACCAGCTGGTGCTGCTGTGGTTGGTGGCGCCTCAGAGAGCGGTAGTGGTGTGTAGGAGAATCAGCCTCTTCCTCCGAGCCATTGAGGCTGTAGGCAGGGTACAAACGGCCTTTCCCTGAAACAAGGCAAGCCACGCCTCATTGATCCATGCTTCTGTATCAATTAAAATCATAAAATCTCTCGACTTTACTCTCCGGTTCTGGAATGGTTCCTACGGGATCATTTTTCTTTGCAAATGAAGAAAACTAATCCACACTTGTTTCGCTGCTTGGTAACACTTTAATGCGACAAACGATCATACTGCCTTCATCATGATCATCGCCACCCTGATGATAGAAGCAGTAAGCTCCTCCGAAACGTCGATTAATTTCTACCAGACTATATGACGCGACGTCCCAGGACCATAGACGAGAACAAGCCACGTTCATGATCATCGCTGTTTAACCTCTTAACAATTTATCAGAGTGTTTCATTTTCCCTTGCATGCAATATTGCAGTTATGTGACAGTGTTGTCTCATTCAACGGATCCACAGCTCCTGATGAAGGTCCAAACCACTACGCATACCGAAAGGCAAAGTTATATGAAATTTTACAAGTTTCTCTGCTCAGGAGTTTACTGTAACCATGGCAACATAACGGCTGAATCCACTACATACATGCCGGAAGCTCATCACAGCTAACCCATGTTAAATCTCGTTTATTTTTCGACAAATTAAAACTAGGTGAGAACAATTTCGTCTTGTGAAGCAGAAGATATTTTACTGGGGGGGGGGGGGGGG